GACAGCCCCCCTCCACGCCAGCTCCCTGGCATGGACTGCGCCGGAGGCAGCTGCATGCGGCTGGGATTGAAAGGGAGGTGAGGCAGAGCTGGCCGGGCTCTGGCAGCGATCCCGCCTGCTGTGGGGCTCGTCATCACTGTACGGAAAAATGGAGCTGAGCCTCTCAAAACCAGGGATGACTTTTAGCTCTTGTGGGAAAACGTAGCCTGAGTGACTTCTGAAGCAACATCTCCGTGGGGTGTCGTGTGTGGGGGTGGCACATCCATGTCGCTTAACTGCCTCTCCGCCTCTCTCCCCAGCGGTGACATAAATGAAGACACGCTGGAGACTGAAAACGCAGCTGCTGCCGCTGCCGCCGCCTTTACGGCCTCCACGCATCTGAAGGAAGCGGTCCTAGGTAGGTTCAGCCCGTGCCACAGACCCCCCTGTTGTGCCATGCCATCTCCACCACCCCAATGTGGCACAACTCTGTGCTGGTGCTGGCCCAGAGGGTCCAGCCACTGCTGTGCAGAGCTGCCGCCGTCCCCAGGGATGCCGTCTCCAGCATCTGGGGATGCTCTCCCAGGGGTACCAGGGATGCTCTCCCCTGCATCCAGAGGAGCCCAGCTTGCTGCAGGGGCTGGGTGATGGGAAGGAAGCTGGCAGCTGCTGGCTGGGCTGCTGATGCCCTCTTCCAGTGCAGGATGAGGCCCTGTGTTTTGCCGTTGCTGCCTCCTGCCTTTCCAGCTTGCCATGAGCATGTCAATTTTGCAGCAAACTTGATGACTTTGGTTACAAGAAAAGTGAATTTAGTTAGCAAAGGCTGTGACCAGCTGGGCTGGAGTTGCCTTAAGTTTTACTCCAAAACCATGAGTGAGTGTATAATTACCTGAACAACATAATTCCTTTCATTTTTATCAAGAATTGAATTTTTGTCAGCCCTGGCCACTGACTTCCCAGATTTCACACTCAGCTGCAGCCGGACTGGTATAAATCTGCCTGTGCTGTTTCACCTGAGAAATACAGGTGGTTGGATGCTTTAGTAGCAAAGTGCAAGTGAATGGTGGCCACAAACCCCAGCACGCCCCACCATCCATCATCTCCCTTTTTTTTTAAATCCCAAGCTTCAAAACTGCTTTATGTGTGCATCAGAGCGGTGAATCGGGGGGCTGCAACTCACGTTTCTTTTTGATCTGTCCCTTCCTCTGTTCCCTGTGAGAAGTGAAGATGGCTGAAGATGAGGACAGTTTGGAGGCGGAGATTGTCTACCCCATCACGTGCGGGGACAGCAAAGCCAACCTCATCTGGAGAAAGTTTGTGTGCCCCGGGATCAACGTGAAGTGTGTGCAGGTGAGAACAAAGGTCCTTGACGCTGGACTCGTGCCTTCCCTTGGCTGTGTCGCAGGCTCACCTGGCTTGTGCTGGGTTTGATGGGCTTTGGTGAGCTGCTTTGCATCAGAACCATGTTGTGGTGGGAGAGGAGGAAGTTCTTGGTACTGTTGTACCTGATACTTGTCTTCTCGGCCAAGTTGAGCAGTCCTGGCTGCAGAGATGTTGCCTCAATTTTATTGGAGAGTTTGAGAAATTTGGGTACTTCCAGTGTCTGCTCAGTTTGAAAGTTGAGAATTTGTTGAGAAGTTTGTTGGTTGGGACCTACTGAAGAGCTTCCGTGTCCTGGATAACTCATGGTTAAAATTTGCATGAATTCAGGAACGTACCGTGAGCGATGCTGAGCCATCGCTGGCGTTTGTGCGCGGACTAAACCATCTCCTGCTGAGAGAGTGTCTCCTCTGGGCTCAATTGCAAGAGAATTTTCCAAAGGATGGTCCTTGTCCTTGCCCTTCCTGGGAGGGATGGTCTTTTCCATCCCAGAGGCAGAGGACAGGTACTGCTGCAGATAATGCTGCTGCCTCAAGTCAGTCCTCTCTTTGCACTGAAGCCCATGTCCTTGTGCAGAGAAGCAGCTTCTCATGCAGTACTGGTGAGGGAGCTCTGCGTTGGTCACCGTGGGCGTTGAAAAGAGGAGACCTGGACTTGGGAAATCCTTCCTGAGATGGGCTGTGGAGCAGCTCGTTAGAGGAGTGCCTGGTTCTGCAGGTTGGTTTTAGGTCAGCTCATGGATTCGGGCACAGCCTGGTGCGTAGGGCAATAAAAGCAGGAGGCAGAGCTGGCAGCTGGCACGGTGTACGCCAACTCCCTGCAGCTGGCTTTGGGCAGGAGCGGGTGTTCCATGTTAATTTTTGTGGCTGTCAGTGTTGTCTAAGGTGGGGACGCGTGTGTTGGCCACCCGTTCCAGTGGTGTTGCTTAAACAGCATGTTGAGGCTGTCGTGCCCCGGGAAGCGCCGTGCCGGCAGCCTGGCTCCGCTGCCAATCCATGCTCGTGGCACACGCGTTCCTTATTTCACGGCTCATCACACTGATGTTGTGCTTCTGCCTTTTGCAGTTTGACGACCACCTGATCAGCCCCAAGGAGTTTGTCCACTTGGCGGGCAAGTCGACCCTGAAGGATTGGAAGCGGGCGATCCGGATGAACGGGATCATGCTCCGGTCAGTCTCTTTGTATCCACAAACGTCGTCTTTAGGAGGGATCGCGGCGGGGTGGGACGGAGCCTTTGGGATGGTCGTTTTGCTGCTGGGAGAGCAAATGTGCCGCTGAACGTTTGTCTTAATGACAGCCTGGCCCCAAATGGGGTCTGTCCTCCAATGGCTTTGCTTTATCCTTGTGCCTAGGGAGTAATTTGGGGCAAGAAATGCTTCCCTGGTCTTTTCAGGACTTGAAGCACGCTGAGCTCCCAGCTGGCGTAAGGCCATCGCAAGTTTTAATGGCCAGTGGTGGTCGGGCCGTGCTGTCTACTGGTTCTCAGTGGGACCTACCAGATGGAAGTCTGGTCGTGAACTAACGCTCCTGTTGCAGTATGTCTGCTTTATATCACTTTTTTTTTTTTTTCTCTTTTCCAAAGGCTTATTTAAAGCTTATTTATGCAAGCATGTCTCTTCTCTGGTCTTAACTACAGTAATTTAATTCTTCTGTGGTCTTCTTGAACAGCAGGCTGAGACTGTGATTTAATTAAAGTCTCGTCTCTGCCTGTAGGCAGGATAAAAACACATCACCTCTTTGCCCAGGAATTGTCAGTGGTTTTGTGCTCTTTTCAGAGGGTGACACTGCGTTTGCCTCTATTCTTCTGCTTGGATGCAGACGTCTCCTGTATTCCTTCTAAGCAGCTTTTGCTCCACGTAGATTTTGCATAATAGGCTTATACTTTGGCAAGGCAGGTCTTTCAAGGGAAAAAACCCAAACTTCCCAAGGAATGTGTGAAGGGGGGCCCAAGGGAGCACATCTCGGGAAGGTCAGGTTGTTGTTGGCCAGCAAAGTCTGGGATGCTTTGGAGACAACTTGCTTAGACTGGGGAGATCATGTAGGCCAGTGTTGCAACCCCCTTTGCTTAGGCTGAGAGACCTTATTCTAGTGGATAAATAGGGTCATGTCCTACCTCTTTTTATGAGGTGTGGAGTCAAAAGGGAAGGAAGAGGCTTCTTATTGTCTCAGCCCTGGCTGGAGACTTCAGCCGACCCTTCTCCTAGAAGCTGCAGGTGTGCACGGGGGGAAAGTGCTGGTGGGATCAGACTGGGACCTTCTCTTCTTCCTCCCTGCTCCCTAAATGAACCAGTTGTTCATCAGACCCAGTGAGGGTTCCTAGTTAAAACTACAGACCCCACGCAGAAGAGCCTGCTCAGAGAGGTCTATGTGGCTCCTGCCAGCTCTGGAGCCCGGTTTGAGTGGGGAAGCGAGTGCTCCCCAGCTCTCTTTAACCATTTGTGGCCTGAAGAAACTCCTAGTGCTGTTTGATCCAGCATGAGGATGTGGGATGTGGCAGAGAAATGGTCAGAAACCAAATCTGTTCCAGTTCTTTACCCCAGCTACAGCACGATGTGCTTGATGGGCTGTTTCCTCCCCATCCCAGCATCCCAAAACACTTTATCACCACTGGAATATTGCGTAGTTGTTGGGTTTGTGCACGTGGCCAGTACAGGGCAGGGTGTGGACGCCGTTTTAATTAGCTCTTAGTTAAAGCTGCCTCTAAGGTCAGGGCACAGCAGGACTTGTGAAGGGAAGTTCGGACTGTTGCCTCTGCCTGCTCTCCTGGCTTTTGCTTTTCATCTGGGACTTGGAGAAGTTTGGGGGTGCTGGCTGCCAGCTGCTGCACCTGGGCTCCTGCTGACCTGTGTGTCCCCACGCTTGCTCCCTGTCTTGCAGGAAGATCATGGACTCAGGAGAACTGGATTTCTACCAGCACACAAAGGTCTGTTCCAACACCTGCCGGAGCACCAAAATCGACCTGACCGGAGCCCGGGTGTCCTTGACCAGCCAGACATCGACAGAGTACATCCCCCTCACTCCCGCTTCCGCGGATGGTACGTCCAGCCCTTCCTCACACCCTCAACAGGGGCTCTAAGGCGTTGTAGCCCAACAAATGCCACTTTAGCTCATCTGTAAGGAGTCAGTGGTCGTTACTCGATGAAGTTCCCTCCCGTCCTCGCTGCCGGTCGGGCGCTGTGTCCGTAAGAGGCAGGAATGGGCTCAGCCACTCCTGCTGCGCAGGGTGTCGGGGTGGGGGTCCCAGCTCCCTGAGCTCTGACCTGACTTCTGCCAGAATAATTTAGGGATTTTCATTTAAGACTCCCTGGCTGAATTATTATGGGGTTTGTCTGATGAGAGATTAAAGAGAACCAGAGGATGCAACAGATTTTTATCTGCACTCATGCATGTAGCCTATAAAACTGGATTTAAATGACGTTGTGGCTAAACTTCATCTGACCTGTTATTACAGGCAACTATTTTATTGGAAAGCTTTCTGATTTCTAAGGACTTCTGTATTTCTTAACTCCTTTTGCTTCTGAGAGTTAAGAACACCTTCTCCAGCCCCCCAAAGAGCCCCGAGCTCCTGGTGGGGTCCGTAGGGGCGGAGCAGGGACAGGAGGAGCCCCTCGGCCGGCTCCGCAGAGCACCTTCGGCAGCACGGCCCGGTGCTGCGGTGGGGGGGCCGATGCGGACGCACGGTGCAGCCTCCCCCAGCTCCAGAGCCACAGCCTGTCCCGAGCCCTCCCGTTAAACTTGGACGTCGGCTCGGTGATGGAGAGACGCTTCCCACGCTGCTGGGCTGTGCTGGGATAACCAGAGCCCTGAAGGCTGCGGAGTAAAGGAGCAGAATAAGGATTTAATGGCAGTGGCTGAGCGTTACAAACGCTCCGCGCAGCACCGCGGGTCTCCGGCCGGATTCCCGTTCATCCCGCTCCTGTGCACGGCTGGAATGATGCCGGTTCCCCCGGGTCTGTGGTAACAAAACTGCTGAGATTTGGCAGAGGGGGAGGGAGCTCCCCTGCATCCCTGCGCAGCAGGGGGACGCTCTCCCCTTCGAGGCTTTAGAAACCCTCCAGACATCCCAGTCCTGCAAACTGTAAGCTGGGCCAAAAAAGATTGCCAAAAAAAAAAATAAAATTAGACTTTAAATCAGTTTGACTTTTGCCCTGAGCAACATGAGTGTGTAGGCAGGGGGGAACGGGAAGGAAGCGCTGCTCTTGGGCACGTGTTCTCCTGCAAGGGTTGCAGAAGTAATCCCTGGGGAGGCGAGCTCCAGCCTGGAAAAATAAGTGCTGCTGGCACAGCAACTGCCAGTGGCTTTACCAGCCGCGCCCGCGGCCCCACCCCCTCCGCTGCTG